CCCGGACCTGCCCTACACTCTAGGCGGGCGTCTCACAAATTCGACCACCGAGGCGTATGATAATATTTGTCGCAATATGCCTCGGCGGTCGAATTTGTGAGACGCCCGCCTAGAGTGTAGGGGAGGTCCGGGTTCGAGCCCTGGCTGAGGTAATATTTTTCGCGATAAATTCGTTAGTTACCGCTGGCGACATTGAAGAATTGAGATTGTAGATCGATGCCCAGCGACTGTAAAGAAACAGACGACACGAAAGAGCGAACTGTTGAACGCATGTTACGGGTTTTGTCGCAGGTGAGTATACCGATGCCGGCGCAAAAGAGCAGCTTAAAGGCGAGCCTGTCGGTGAACGGGGACGGGCAGTCAGGTGGGCAGAGTGTGCCAGCGCGATGCCGGGCGCCCAGCGTTGGCATCGACGTCGACATGGTGTCCGAGTTCGACCCCTCGTCGTCGGACAGCGGCGTGGTGTCGAGGTGCGCGGTGGTGAAGCCACTTAAGCTGCGACTGTGCCAGCCGATCTTCGGCCGCAAGCACGTAGGTAAGTTGAAGAGGGAGCACGGCGACGCGGGGCGACACGCGGGCAAGGACGAGTCCGGCGGCAGCGGCAGCGGCGGCGACGGCAAGATGAAGCCGCGCGATCCGGAGCGGGAGAAGAGGAGGCTGGCGAGGAAGAAGGAGAAGCGTGCCACGATGATACTGGGCTTCATAATGGGCAGCTTTATCGCCTGCTGGCTGCCCTTCTTCGTCCTTTACATCGTCAAGCCTCTCTTTCCCGATTTCGATATACCCTCGCAGGCCTTCGTAATCGCCTTCTGGCTCGGCTACACCAACTCGGCGCTGAATCCCTTCATTTACACGGTCTTCAACAAGGACTTCCGCCGCGCTTTTCGCCGAATATTGTTTAAATGAGCAATACAGTATAGCGTCGACCAAGAGGGACGCTAGCGATAATTACACTTTCCGTCCTCGGGTATGCGAATACCGATGGTACTCCGAGGTACGTTTTCTCGATCGCATCGCGCGCCATCCGATCTGTTTCCTCGCGTGATCCACGGGAGAAAACTTTAATCATAGGAGGGAGGGATTTTACAATGTGGAATTTTACAACGCCGCGGAAACATTTGCGAAAGATGGAATCGGAAATGCGCGAGGAGTTTGCGACGAGACGGGGCGAGAAGTTGGTGTTTCAGATCGAAAAAAGTTTTCCAGCTGATTTTTTCGGAATATGAAACGAGCACACTGGGGAAACTGCGGGATCGCACGTGCGCAGAATGGGAGACGAGACGAGACGAAACACGTCTCCGAGTTCATGTATTCCTTCGGGATTGTTGTCATCTCTTCCAACAAACCGACTCTTTTGCGACTGTCGAATCAACGTACAACTTTACCCCCCCGAAAGCGCGAGACGTATCGCGATCAGGAACTGACCGGAGAAGAACTTTTTAAGAAATGCCGAGAAACTTTTTTTCCCCCCCCACATCGCTAAACGATCGAGGCAGAGCGCGAGAGATTTCACTCAGGCAACATCTTTTCATTAGAGAGAGATCCGTTAAACGAGCCCCCCCCCCCGGCCCCTTGACGGAATTCTACCACCTTTACACAACTCACACGGACTCTGTACACGCTGCATACGACAGATCAACGAAGAGAGAGAGAGTACACTTGGCTGGCCAAGGGAACGTAATTCACCGCGCGCGAATTACCACTCTCCAATTTACGACGCACCGTAGAAAGCAAATCGCTTCCAAGACCAAGAGGCAGCATATCGCTCCTTCCTCCATCCTCGCGCGCACTTTTATTTCATTAGCCACTCTTGTTCCGCAAAAGGCTAGAGATGCGGCTGATACGGGGGTCACTAATTCCGTGCCTAATCTCTTGGTCACGTTTATGAAAGGCATGACAATCCAAAGTTGCGGCGCGGCGTGCACGCGGCGTGCACGCGGCACGCAAATACACTCAGTCTCGTCGTGGGAAAAATAGCCGGGCAGTTTGCAGATTTCATAGCGCGCGCGCTATCCAAGCACGATGCGACTAGCGCGGTAGGAGAGTGCTCGATCGTGCGATCGCGCGCGTGATAATTGCGCCGGAAGATAACGGACGCGATCGAGGGAGGAAGGAGAACCCTGTGGCCGATGCGTATCGGGCCGCGTCAACACCAACCAGCGTTGAAGATCGTCGGCGGATCTACTGACAAATAAACGAGGATATATGATGCGTTTCCTACTAATTAGATATTCGCGCGTCGCGTGGGCCCGAGACGGCCCCTTTAAACGTCCGGAGTTCTAATTGTGAGTCTTCGATGTTAACTTTTAACGTATGTATAGGATTTAACAATTCTGTCACGTACGTGCTGGGTGTATGGTTGCGTGCTGGTGCGCGTGTGTGTGTGTGTGTGCGTGTATAGTGTGTCCATGTAGTTCCTTCCGTGCGCGAGCGAATGTGAGAGGCGTACAAGTTGTATTTTACAAACGGGTTCCTCTGTCGCAGCCTAACTGTACAGCAATAATCAATCTTTCGTTCGCTGAAAACGATCGTTCGTTCCAAGAAGATATCGGCGTTCGAGAGAGAATAAATCGGCGCGAAGCGATCAATCGCAGATTAAATTGTGTCTTCAATCATACGTTGTCCGTAGGTATGCGTGGGGTGTGCGCGCACACGTGTGCGCCAACGTACGCGCACTGTCCACTATGCGATGAATAATCACTTTGCGTCGCAGGGTCCAAAATTAAACGCAAATCTAGATAAAAATAAAACGAACCGTACACACACACCCACACACACGCACACACGCGCGCACACACACGCGTACGCACACGCACACGCACACGCACACCGGTATTCCATTACTCAAATTTATTCCCCGTCGTCAACAAAGACTCTGACCAGCGCTTAATCATACTTGAGTTACGTTTGCTCGACACACGCTGGATGTATTTTATACTTAACTGTGTAACAATAATGGAAAAGTGGTACAACGAACGGCGGAATGATCGAATGCGGCCGGTTAATTCTCAAAGGGTGCAGAATAGAATTCCGCCAATTAGTGGGACCGCCACCTAAGACAGAGATATTATTTCCGTAAGACGGAAATCCCGTGCCTGCCAGCGAACCAGATGCTCCATACGCGTCACAGTGCGAGGAGAGATCCTCTCGCGAAATGATCACACGCGGAAAAGGGACGCCGCGGGATACAGAGGAGAGAACGATGTCTCGCGCACCTGGCGCTCGCTATTTTGCGGAAACACAACCGGATAACAATATTCCTCATTTCGTTCCATATCGAGCTCCCCACCGACCGAGATCTTTGCAGCGCGCGTTTTCCAAACGACTCCTCGAGGGAGATCTCGGCGTGAGATTCCGGGATTTTCCTCTTCCGAAATTTCCAAAGAGACGACGTGTCAGCTCACTCTTCCTCGTCGATCTCACGTCTTCGCTTTGGCGAGCGAGCGAGCGAGCGAGCGAACGAACGAGCGAGTGAGAGAGAGAGAGAGAGAGAGAGAAACGATAAGCTCCAGCATCATAAATCTTATATGCCCGATACAGCGTGTACATTAGCGGAAATGTACGCGCTCACGCACGTACGTGACGCGCAATACACCACAACGATAAATCGATAAACGCATCTCGCGCGTCTGGTTCCGTGATGTTTAAGAGTGCCTGCCTATGAACGCGCGCGCGTATATACGTGTACACACATCTCGCGTCTCGCTCTCTATCACCTCCCTTCTTACCTTCCCGTTTAATTTTCCAAGAGTCGAGTTCCCTTCAGGATCTCTCTTAACTGTTATCAACTTTAACTCACTCGGAAATGTTGCTCGCACTGTTCAGAATTTGCAACTTTCTTATCCATTTTTGATCCCACCTTTATTTGCTAGCTATAGTTGAACGGTCCTAGGTTATTATATTCTATTTCTGTTGTATAATTTGGTCGTACAAGCCTATTTTGTTTATAACCTTTGTGGTCTATTTGCATCTTTTTGCACTCTCTCTCTCTCTCTCTCGTTATTGCTCTTTTTTTATTACTTCTCCTTGCTCTTTTTTTGCCTGATCCCGTAATGAGATGGCAGTCGAAGTGGCTGATGAGAAAAGGGTAATTCGAAGGAATAGCGAGTGACGACGGATGACGGATACGAGGGAGCCAATATCGAATTCGTTGATAAGACCGTGGCGCTCGTTCGATAGATTATTAACATAGCCGGGGTCGATAAGAGGGCGCGTGCCTCGCCTTTCTTTTCACCGAAGAGAGAGAGAAGAAAATTACGGGGGAGGAAAGACGCGTGTTTCCACACTATGGAAATCGATTGCACGAATGCCGCGGTCGTTGGACCCGGCCGCGGTTATTTGCGTCAGACCCGCTATACGACAAATATGTGGACGGGATCATGTCAAGTCACGTGCATTAGTTGGGAATTTAAACGTGGCCGCGTCACTGCCCGACACCTTCCTCCCGTCGAAAAGGGCACATAAGTTCTTCAACCTTAATATTCGTAACGACCGCTGCCCCCGGAGGGAAGCGAAAATATTTATTTTTTAAATCGGCTGATTGGGTTGTATCCACGATTCATACATGCATTACATTTTGCTCGACGAAAACAGTTTCTGCTGGCTACCGCTGTAATTTAATGTTTGTTTTTCTCTCATTGTTTTATTTTCTCATTGCTCAAATAAAAACTTTTCAATTTCCATTTATGCCACGCGGCTACAAAAAGTCAGAATCAAACTCGGGACAAACCCCCCCCCCCTCCTTTCCGATTTAATATCACGCATGTGCGAGATCGGTTGTTCAATAGAGAAATTTGCACGTTTATCTCACGCAAGACGTATCTTAAACTACTTTCACCGGACTACGTTATTTCTACCGAACATGCACACTTTTTCGGTCATTTCATTTCACTTGTAAAGTTCCATTAGCAATTTTATGCACGGTTAGTTCCTTTTTCTACTATTAGCCATAATTTAAAAGTGAAATTATTATTTTACATCCGTGTGCTCGTATAATTTGCGACTTTCCCTTAATAAACAAACGCCATACATATGTTTAGGGATAAAATCTTCTGATATGAACAATTAGTAACAATTCCGAGGAATAATTGAGTGAAAAGTAAAAATATTTGACGTAAAATATTTTAGTCCCCGCGGGTCCCGGAGGGGCGGAGACGATTATTGAATTATACTATAATTATACAGTTGACTCCGTTGATTATATCGATAGAAGGAATCGAGAGCGAGATACGAATATAGACACGCCGATTTGAATGAGCTATACGAGTGAGATAATATCATAAATGATTTGAAACACGTAAGGCATTAGCGAGTAAAACATAAAATGGCCGTGCGATGGAGTAGCGCAAAATCATTAAGATGTAAGCGTAAGTCGTGTGTAAGAATTATAGCCGTTTACCAATTGTCATCAATTAATACGTGTAACACCAATCGCCTTAGGCGTGGTGACAAGTTTTTTGCAAACAAGTCTTTCGGAAAATCTCTATGTGTGTCAGTTACCTACTTTACGTAAACGATGTTCTCTAAGCAGTGTAATGTACAGATTCGAAATTAAGCTACGGTAATCCGCGTCGGAGCCATAACGATCGCAACGATTTACGCATCTAATTCCTACCATCATTTCGATTACACCCGCGCGCAGTCTGACTCTAAATATGGCGCGCAACGCGGACGCAACTTGAAATCGACATACATTGTACACACGTGTATATTACTCTGTTATTACTATTATTAATATCCTAACGATTAATTAGATATTACTAATCAAAGTAGGGATCGCAACGATCGATTCTATCTGTTATTTCCATACGCGCCGACGGCGACGGTCCTCGCGTCGCGTCAGGTTCGTCGTCACGTTCCTCCCGCGATCGCACGTCAACTTGTGGGGCAAACCAGGCGGTGAGATCGCCCTGGATTTTCCCCGGAGGAGGGGAAAAGAATTAATGCCGGCCCGCGCCAGTTTGCCGACTTCGAGCCCGTCCGTTCCAGTTGCGAGTGACTCGGCGGGGGACGGGGAAAGTTTATTCTTCGCGGAAGAATGAGAAGGGACCGGGCGATGGGAAGCGTAGACACCGGCGAACGGTGAACGGGCTGCGCGCGATCGTTTTTTCCCCGGGAACACAAATCTCGTGGCTCAGACTTCAT